ACTTCCAAGTTTTTGCATCCTTGGTTGATAAACATTCTTCTTAGAGGATTATTGGCTTGTCCACACTTAGTAAACAGTACCCTAACATAATTTATCGGGCAGAGTATTTATAGAAAACTTGACTTAGCCAAGCTTTGCTTTGAAGGCTCATTCATGTTTACCTCTTGCCAACCAGCAATGATAACAGAGGCCATGCGTCAGTCTTTGGACACAGATGGATCACAAAGAGGAAGGCACTGTCAGCAAGATTTCTCTCCAGCGACAGCTCTGCCTGAAACGCAAGGTATAAATCATGCTCCCAAGGCTGACTTGGGGGATTTGCAGCTCCATTTAGCATTTACAGATTCTCAGTGCTTCCGGAAGCTGTCCTAAGAGTTTGTCCCTATTTAGACAACAGTATTTGATCAAAATAAAAGTGAGACTTTGGCCCTAACAGTCCAAAATCAGATTCTCCAGAAAAAAGGGAACAATAATGTAACAATGATTTCAAAAGAAGCCATGAACCCAGAATTGAGAAAACTGCCCCACTGGGGAACATTCAGTTTCTTTTGGGAAGCTGACTGGGGAATCTCAGAGCCCCTGAGACATAGGAGCCCATTCTGGAGAGCAGACTTCCCAGGGGAGGTGTCAGGTGCTTCCTGGCCCACACCTAGCAAGGTAGGATTGCTCTTCCCAGCAGGGTTGGGGTGGGGCTTCCAGGATCCTGAAAGGAGGGATCTCAGCCCAGCCAAGGGGTCCGAGCTGCTGCCTATGTGCTCCTGGTTTGGTGGGCAGCTCCAAGCTCAGCTGACCCACCACCAGATGCAGATGCTAGCAGCTCCATCCTGCAGCTATGATTGGAGTCCAAAGGGCTACCCCTCCCCTTAGGCAGCTTCCTTGCTCTCTGGGCCTCAGGGTGCCTCACCCACAGAGGCATCAGGATTCGCAGGATGACCTAGTAAGGCACTTGGCACGGCGTGCACTTAGTCAGCAGTTGCCATGATCATTGAGTACACACAGCCTCCTTCACTGGCCTAATGGTCATGGATATGTTTGTTCTCTTGGTCTCCTCGGGAGGAGGAGATTTCTCACATGGCCTCCGTCAGCACTGATCCAGACACAGAGCCTCACACACGCATGCACGCAGAGAAGGGCAGCACCGGCCAAGGGTTGCAGGACAATGCACTGTGCAGGGCCAGTCAGGGCACAGGCGCCAGGCTGTGCAGTCTAACCTGGAACCAGGAACTGAGCTTCAGCCAGGCAGGAGTGTTCCCTACTTGGGAAGCTGAGTCTGCGTTGTATTCTGAGGCCCTAGAACCAGGTGACCAGTGGGCGATGCATCTTTGTACCAGTGCGTCCCCAGCTGCTGGCTCCCAGGGACATTGGCACCTGGTCTGGGCCAAGTGGTCTGGGGCGTTGGTACCTACAGCTCAGCGACAGGACTCCCAGTGCCCCTGGCCAAAGCCATCACTTGGTCCCAGAGGAAGACACGCTGGCTTTGGAGCCCCTGGTGCCAGCCGGGCCCTCAGGTGCAGGCCACATCGGAGCTTGGCTGGTCCTAGCACAGGGCTCCACAGGCAGCCCCACATAGAGCAGCCAGTGTACCGTGACTGGTGCAGCCACTCCTGGGGTGCTGGTCTTGCTGACCCCCCTGGGCTCCTCTGTGGACACCTGGATTCTCCTGGATTCTCCAGGATTCACCTGTGGGAGCAGAGCCTGGCCACAGAGTCCCTTCCTCATTCCTGGTCTGCTCACACTTTGTGACTTCAACAGAAGAACTCAGTTCTCCTGGGTCCTTCATGTTGCTCTGGAAGGACCAGAGAGATGCAGACCAGGGAAGAGGGGTGGGGACCTCCAGGGACCTGCACCTTCTTCACAGCCCCCACACCATCTTCCCTGAGCAGGAAATGAAGAGCAGGGTGCTGAGCAGCTGCTCCTGCCTCCTGGTGCTGCCACCACCACTACTTCCTAGTCCTGTTCTCTTGGAAGGCGGGTGTGTGCAAAGGGCCTGGGATGGCAGAACGTGTTCTCCAGGCCTCACTGGAGCCAAGCAAGCTGCAGTCACTGTGAGCAGGGCCAAGTAGCAGTAGAACTACATGATAGCTCTGCATGTCACCGCCTCCCCAGGATGAGTCCCCTGGGGTCTCACCCTGTGGCATTGACTGCTAGACCTGCACAGCACGCCTGAATATTTCAACAATCACCCACGCTTAAGAAGCACAAGACTTCAAAGAAAGACCTGGATTTCGGGCTTCTTTGAGGAAGTCCAAGTGTTCAGTCCCACTGTTCCCCCATGACATGGGGCTCAGAGGCCACACCACACCCTTACCAGGATTGGTGGCCATGTAGGGGCCTCACCCACTAACATGGAGTTGGGAGCCCACATCCCCCCATGCACAGTGGGAGTGGAGAGTCTTTATCCTGACATCTTGTGGGTTCTCGGTGTTTGTCCCACAGCTGTCCCCTTTAGTCTCTCGAGGAACTTGGTTGTCCACCAGATGCCAGTGGCCTCAGGAGAGGTGAGGGCCCTGTGCAGTAACAGAGTGGCAGGTGTGAGCCCTCCTCGGCTCATCTACCCGACTCCTGACCCAAGCAGGAGGAGGAAACACCTGGTGCTCGGGGAAAGTCCTTGCCCTTGGGAAGCAAGGGAGTCATGGCTATCTGTCCTCTGAGCAGCTGCTCCTCAGCTGGGGCCAGGACCAGCATGGAGCAGGAGAGGTGAGGAAGCTGGATCTCAGGGACTTCTGGAACCCAGAGTCTCCCCCGTGGGGCTTCTGTGACGTCACTACTGCTCTTCACTGGTGCACAGGAGGAGTCCCGGGAAGACACGCCTGGGCATTGAACCCCTGCATCACCCCACACCCACTGCTGTCACCTCCTCTTTCCCATGGGAATAAAGGATGTTGGTGCTCAGGTTCCAACACGCAGACCCGCTCCAGGGCTGCACTGGGAGCAGGCTGCACCCTCCCCCCTGGGAGAGAAAACATGGCTGTCTTGGTTACTTTTCTCTTGTTGCTGGAACAAAATACTTGATGCCCAAAATGAAGGAAGGAAAGGTTTATTTAGCTCACAGTTTGTGGAGGTTTCAGTCCATACTTGGCAGGTTACAAGGCAGAGTGGCACATGGCAGAGCGCTACAGCTCATGGCGGCAGAACACAGCAAAAGCAACAAGCACACAAGGGAGGAATGGTGGCAAGCAGCCTCTTCCTCTCCTTCACATATGCAAACTATCCACCCGAGGGCAGGTGTAGCTCTCACACCCATAATCAATCAAACTCTAAAAGCCTGCCCCATGACCGCATTAGGCTTTAGGGGGGACACCCAGACACAAACCATAACAATGGCCCTACTCATCCCCCACACAGTTCTGTGAGAACGTGAGCTGCAGGGCCAGGGCCACCACCACGCCTGAATCATTCAGCAGAGCACAGGTGGTACCACTCATTTCTTCTCTTTTAAAAGCAGAAGTGGGGGGCTGGGGATTTAGCTCAGCGGCAAAAGCGCTTGCCTGGCAACCGCAAGGTCCTGAGTTCGGTTCCCGGTACCGGAGAAAAACCAAAAAAAAGCAGAAGTGGTTTGGGTGTGTCAGTAACTCAGCCCTGAGCCGGGAGAAGATGTGGCCAATTTTCGGTAGTCATGTTACCACACTGCATCCACAGAATACAATAAAACCTGCAGCTCCCACTCCACCCCCAGCTGCAGGCCAGGAGCAGGGAGAAGCTATGCGGGAGCCCGCACCCCACAAGTCAACCCCAACCAGAGAGGTGGTGCCCAGGGACCTCCTCCCGCTCAGCTTGAGGTTTCATTTCCCACAAAGTCCAACCTGATTCTTAAGGACACAGAGAGGAGGCAGGTGACAAACTTGTGTCCTCTGAGACCAGCTCACAGGACTGTACAGGGTCACCCACTTCTTACCTCCCCCTTCTCTACACACTGTGTCCCCTCCTTGCTCCAATGGCCTTGCTCTGTCAGCACAGGGCTCCTCCATCTCCCTGGGTCCAGGGCTGTCTCCAGCCCCATCCTGTCTACGCCCAGCCTGCTCCCTCCTGTGGGTGGCTTCTTCCTTAGGTTGCACTCCCGTGCCCCTGCATGACCTCACCCACTCCCCAAACCTGTCACTGCCTCATGTCACAGATCTGCAGGCATGCATGTCCATGCCACACCTGTCTGTTCAGCACGGAGCACTACACCCAGAGTCTGTTTTCCCCTTGACACCTCAGCATCTCCAAGACCTGGATCACACCATGTCCCCACCACACACCAGTATCTTTGCCACCACTTCCCCCCGGGACCTTGGGGATGGGGGTCACCACACCTGGAGCCGTCTTCCCTCCACATGCCTGCCCATCTTCCAGGCCCTCTCCCCAGGCCCTTGTGGATTCCATCCAGGGCTCTGATCAGATGCTCCTGCAGCCTCCACCCTCTCTCTCCATTGCATATGGGAGATGTGCAAATAGGAACTGATCGCCCATACACACACACACAATCTCTCCTCATAATGATGATTTTATCCATCACTCTTGGATAAAATTAAAGCCTGCTGTGGTCTGGTCCTGCAAGGTACCTGACTCCTTCCCTATTTCCATCTCCCCATTCCCTAACCACACTGCATGAGAACTAAATGGAAGCTGGTCTGTCCTCTGCCAGCTGCAGGAAGCCAAGCTCCACACCATATCTTAGCAGCCCCTTGGCCACCAGCACTACCCTCACCAGGCTTTCTTCACCAAGCCCAGTGTTACCTCACAGCCCCACCAGGCTGTGGTCTCTGTTGGACCTGAGTTACAGGGCCTGGGAGGGAGGGGAGCAGCTCTATGCCTGAGCGGTGCAGGAGCCATCTCAGATGACTCTGAGGCAGGAACGCGCTGCAGGCCCAAACAGCTTAGCTCTTTCCTAACACCAGGGATTGCAAATGTCTCCCATACATGGCCCGATGGCAGGTATCTCCAGCTTGGTGGACAACTACTTAAATCTCTGCAGTTTAAAAGCAGCCACAGACAATAAAAAACAGGCAGACTGTGTCCCAATAAAGCTTTATTTATAAACACAGGCTGTTACTGCAGTTTTTGAGGTGCACCTGCCCACTGCCACCCAGGGGCAGGAGCAGCCAGGACAACAGCATACAGGAACCCCGCCTCTGTACAGAGCCCTGTCTTCAGACCTTATTTTCTCCCAAATCTGCCCAGCTTCAGCCTGCCTCTGAGTAGAAGGCTACTGGAGGAACAAGCAACAGAACTGGGAGGCCGCCTTGAGTAGTGAGTTCCTTGGCTGCTGCAAAGACCTTGGGAAATGACTCAAATACCAGGAAGGAAGCCTTAAAAAAAAAAAAAAAAAAAAGAAGCTCGTTTAAAGCAAGAACAAAAAATAATAGCAGTGGGCTGAAATAACAAGGAAGGCTGTGACGTCAGCATGGTTTTTCCCCACAGCTGATGCCAGTCCCCACCCAGAGCAGGCCTGGGGGACTGGAGTAGGGGAGGGGCCAATTGGTGGGGACCCCATCTGGGAAGAAGGGTGGGGAACACCCCATGCTCACTCACGACCTCCAGCTATGAGATGTCGCTCACCCACAGGCCTGGATTATGTCTCTATCTCCACGTATGATGTCACCAGCTCCCATGTGGAGATGAAGACATTGCCCTGCCCTGGATGCCCACATGTTCCCCAAAAACACTGTTACCCTGGAGTAGCCACTCCTACCTAAACCAGTATAAATGAAGATCCCTGCACGGGGCCTGCTGCGGGGGGTCTCAATGTCAGGTGCTGTCTCCTGCACACGGAGAGGCGTAGACAGACACTCACTCATACTTGCTGAGCAGCTGCTGTGGGACTGAACCAGCCTGAGGCTCTGTCTTGCCACAGATGAGGTTGGGATAGACTTTGGATCCGGCTGTGTGAGACGGAAGGCCGACAGGGAGGCCCTCCCAGCTCTGTCTTCCGCCTGCATTCTCAGAAGTACATTATGAAAGACGGGTGCATCCATGTGGGTCACCCCAGTTCTCTCCATGAGCATGGGGGCCGTGGCAGTCGGCTCCCCAGGGATGTCCTGTGTGCCAGGGTCCCTGCCTATGGAGGCAGATGGGGTGGTTGCATGTTCCATCCCTACCATGTTCCACCCCTGCCCTCTCTCTGGACCAGCCCTGCATCCAGGGCCTGCCTTGCCTTCCTCCCTTCAAGCCTGTTCCTGCAGCCTAAAGGCCTTGCTGGGTCAGGACAAGGTCAGGACCAAGGTCAGGACAGTGCCAATGCTACCCCTAAGGAACTCCAAGATGGAGACAGGTCAAGGCCAGCAAACCGAACATGGACGGTGCCGTGGAGGCTGCATGAACAGGGTCTGGAAACAGGGAGGACAAGCAGGAAGAGCAGCCAGCAAAGCCTCGAGGATCTACACAGGCAGCCAGGGTCCCGCAGTGGTGGACCAGGACAAGGTTACCCCAGAAATCTGCCTCTTTGGGGTGAGCAGCACCAGGCAACCCCTTCAGAGGAGGACTGGGGTGGAAGCCCCTTCTGTTCAAACACTGAGCCATTCATACCCCCGACAGGGGGTGTTTGGTGCCTGGTGGCAAGGGTTCATGAGCCAGGGACCCAGTCAGGACAGGAAGTGACAGTACCCAACAGCCTGTTCTACCACGGACGACCCCTGAAAGCAGCCACCCGCTCTGCGGTCTGACCCACCGCTGCAGGAATATGGTTGCAAATGGAGGTATTTCCTAGATGGGAGCATGCACCTTGCCCTCACAGATGAACCCCTGCGTCAGGTGCCTGTGAGCTCGCATAGTGGGGCTCAGAGGACGGGCTCTGAAGGGTTTTCCAGGGCATGGCCCCTGAGGCTGGGCTTCACCCAGTGCCCCCCCACAACACACCACCACATGCCCAGCCAGCAGGGTCCTGGTGGCTTGTGTGATAGCTGCCCAGAGCCACGTGTTTCCCACCTATGTCCTGAAAAACTACCCAGGCTTAAAGCCATGGCTCAGTATCGAGCCATGACCGGGCAGGGCAGTAGAGTTGCCCCTACACCCCCCACCCCTGTGCAAAGGGTCCCCTCGGAGCTGTGCCCGGGGTCCCAGCGCATCGCTCCCCCAATGTCTCATCCAACAGAAACGTGACCACATATGCGCAGCTCTGTCCTGTAGCCCCACCCCTTAGAAGTCAGCCTTCGGGACCACCCCGTATCGGCCTCACAGCCCAGTGCTTTTCCAAGTTTGCGTCAGCGACCCCATCATCTGTGTCCCTTATCCAGGGCCTTCCACCAAACTGACCACTTTCTTTAAGGGCAATGGGTGTAGACTGTTTTCCTTTTGAGACCTTAGTGTTTTTCTTACAGAAATGTAACACATCTTTATAAGGTTAGCCTTCTGTGAGGGGTGTATACCTGCCTGTGTGTGTGTTTGGGGGGTTTTTTGAGACAGGGTCTCATTATGCATTACAGGCTGGTCTTGAACTCACTTTGTAGCCCAGGCTGGCCTTGAACTCACAATGATCCTCCTGCCTCAGCCTCCTGAGTGCTGGGATTACAGGTATGCACCACCACACCCAGCTGCCATTTGTCTTTTGACTTCACTTAGGGTATGTTTTTGTCTCCAGTCCAACTTTTATCTAATTAAACTTATGGCTTGTGTCCCTTTTTAACTTCTCCATTTGTATTGTGCGTAAAGAGGACTTTTATTTCTCTTTCTTTTTAAAATTAGCTTCCATATTTTCTTTCAGTGGGTCTACAGAATCACTTTTTACTTAAATTTTTGTTATATCTGGAGTTTGTTTTGATAGGTGGGGTGAATTAGAAATCTAAGTTACTTCTTCCCAGTGGAGATTTAGTTGCTAATTCAAGGATGCAAGCTTGCTCTTCTATTGACCCTTCTTATACACTAGGTTCTGGTACTGTTCAGGTCTCTTGCTCAGATCCTTCTCCTGGTTTTCCTACCCATCCATGCACCACAGGGCCTAATCACTTGGGCTTCCACAGGTAGCTCGTCACATCCCAATGTGCCAGAATTTTGAACATCTGATATTCTATCTAAATCTTTCTTTTTATCTCATTTTTCCTCTGTGATACTTCTGCTAAGAAATCCCAATGGTACAAATCAGCTTTACCTGCAGAGTCCTCAACTTCAAAGGGGCTCGTGTCCCTGGAAGCCCCTTGACTCAGGTTGAATGCCCTGAACGCATCACCTCTCTGGATCCCATCTGCAGGGCAGGGCCCAAGCACCCTGTTCCTTCCCTTCACAACCCTGTGGATGACGGGAGCTGGGACTCAAGGCCTCTGCCTTGCAGTGCAAGGGGCAAAATGGAATCCCTGTCACCAACCCAGGACGGTATGGCTTCTACTGACAGAGCACCACATTCACACTGCCGTGGAATCGAGAACTCCAAAGTCCAGCGCACCATTGTGACGTCAGCAATGCGCTCAAAACTGAGCTCTTTTCATTTAGACCAGAATGAGTATCAGATGAACTCAGGAAGTGTCCCATGCATCACACCAAGCTGTCTGCTCCGAAGAGAGTGACCTTCTATGTAGCAACCACCTTGCGCTCCTTTCTCCCTGCTGCAAGATTTTGTCTCAAGGAATATGCATTTGCTTATCTGTATTTTCTGGCTTTTAAAAAAATCCTTTTTTAGAAACAGTTGCTATTGGTGGACTATCTCCCACCGTGTCTCCCAAGCAGCTTGGTATTCACAGACACAAGGGTGATTTCTTCCCCTTGGGGGTGGTGCCCAACCCCTGGCACACTGTTCCTTGTTTTCTGTGTTTTGTCAGCCAATCTTTCACTCTCTCCTGTGGCACACCTTCCACCTGCAGAGCATGACAACTACCCTTCCTCTGCTACCTTCCTGAGCTTGGTAGTCTCCCTCTGGAGAAGAGTGTTAAATAACGCGTCAAGAACATGAGACTATTCCTAGCCTTTCACCATTAAGCCGGCATGTTTATCAAAAATAGTTTTATCACTATGGGAAAGCAAATATCTACTCTTGTTTGATTATTCTTTGTCTTTGCTCTTTTGCTTTGAGATGATGTCTCACAATGCTGCCCAGGCTGGCCTTAAACTCTTGTGCTCAGCTGATCCTCCTGCCTCAGCCTTGCAAGCAGCCTGGGCTATAGACATCTACTGCTGGGCCCAGCTTGGTGTTTAAAGTCAGATATGTGTCAAAGGGTGGACGTGCCCTGTGGACTTTGATGGCGGTGGCCGTGCGTCTCTCCCTCCTTGGCTTAGTGGGAGCTGTGCTAACCACCAGGCCCTTCCAGGGTGTGGCCCCACTTCCCCTGCACAGGGAACAATGCATTGAAAGCCTCGCAGCCCCCTGCACAGATCTGCCCTCAGCCCACGGAGTTCTTTGCCCAGTGGCTTCTTGGAGGTAGGCAGCTCAGGTCACACGCTGTAAAGGTCAGTGTCAGCCAGGCCCAGCCCCAGCGGAGCTGGCTGGCAGGACAGGCTGCATGCCCGCTCCCTTGGCTCAGCCACCCAGGATTCAGACAGAGCACATTCGTCCCTCTTCCCCCACTCCTGACTGCTGCGCCTGGAGAAATCACCTGCCTGAGCGGCCCCACCTTGGGCTCGGCCCCCAGGGGACTCACTGAGGTCAGGCAGACTTCAAGAGTCACAAGATGATGACTGGCTTCCCTGCAGGCCGGGACAGAGCCTGCCCTGCACTCCTAGTAGCCTGTGCAGAATGTACTCGGGGTCTTCCTGCAACCCTGAATCTAAGTGGGGGTGCAAGTCTCTGCAGTTTAGGGAAATGGGGAGATCTCCGAGGAAGCTGAGCATTGTACACATGCGAAGCTCCCTGTCCCCATGTTTGTGATGGTAGCCAAGGGGTTCCCCTCGAAGGCCGAGGCTTTGATAAAAGGCTCCGTCCTCACCTGCAGGGTTAAAGAGCAGCCACATTCAGTTTCGGGCTGCAAGGCAGTCTTGAGGGCAAATCCCGGCTCAGCAGGTGGCCTGATCTTCCCCCTAGCAATGGCCATGTCCTTGTTGCTGGGGAAACTTTTTTCCCAAGTCTCTAATTTGGGAGAAAAGTAAAAGGAGTGGTAATGAATGTGCTGGATAATGAAGGAAGATAGAAGGAAGCACATGGAAAGCTTTACACCAGCCTCATTGCCACCTCAGCTGTGGGAAGAAAGGGTGCATCCTCACGCAGTAATCCTGCAAGACGCAGCCTCGCCATTGTTTTCTTAGAATTTTAACTTTTTTGTAATGGACATTTTCAAACCCATATAGAAACCAAGGGGATAATACAATAATAATTACTAGTGTAACAATCTCCTGTGCTCACCACCCAGCCTCTGTGAGTTCGCCGTGCAGCCGTCCCATTTTGTCGGCAGCCCCCCTGGCACACACACACCCCAGCCAATTGCTGGGAAACAAACCAGCAAAACTAACGACCAGAGGGCCCAGTGCTCCTGCTCCTGGAACCCTCAGCCCTGGTGGGGCCCTTTCTGGCGCTGCTGGTGAGACTGTTGCCCAGCCTGCGTCCGGCTGCAGCCCCAAGCTGGGTCCAGACTCCTGACCCAGCACCTGCAAGAGGAAACAGGAACATCGCGGTCAGCTACCACCTGGGACTTGTCACCTAGGCAGAGACAACTAAGAACTAGGGCTCCTTTCCTGAGAGAATTCTAGGGATTCTTCTTTAGAAAAATAAAGATGACTAGAACCGAATCAAGTCCTTACCCTTTATATGAGTTGTATTTTAGGGGAACAATCTAGTTGATAAAACTAGTATTCTTTCTCCAAAAATATGCCAGCTAATAAATGAGGTAGTGCTAATAGATCTAAAATATCAATATGTTGCTTCCCTTGTTCTAGTAATGGCTGTGAGGAGGTTGTTAAAGAAAGAAGAGACTCACTGGATGTCACACACCTGCTTAGAGGTGCCCACCTCCCCCTGCTAGATGACATCAAGAACTCACCCACGCTTGGGTAAAGGAGCCTGTGCTGAGACCCACCAAGCTCAGAGACCCAACTACCAATCCACAGGTGCCATAGGAGATGGGGGACATAGAGACACCACCAGCAGGATCCAGGCTGGGACAGTGTGTAGGACAAGTGCCCGACTTTCTTAGCTTGAGGAAGGGAAACAGGGACAGAGCAACCTCAGACCAAAATGGCTCAAGAGACCTTGAATTTATCGCAGTTTTACACTTTACTTATTTATTTATTCTTTGACTTTTTGAAGCAGGGTTTCACTATTCAGTTCAGGCTGGCCTTGAACTCACTTTGTAGCCCAAGCTGGCCTTGCACTCAAGGCAATACTCTTGTCTCAGCCTCCCAAGTGCTGGGATTACAGGCATGTGCCACCAAGCCCGGCCTCACACTTAATTTAGATCCTGATTCAAACAGACAAGTTGTAAAAATTGTTCATAGAGAAATCTGGATTATATGAGCTTTAATCTGACATTTGATGGTGGTTATTACCTTTTAGGAATGTTAATACTGTTGGCTATGTTTTTAATGATTTTTTATTTGGGGGGATATTTTCTGAAACATTTGCAGATGGGTTATTATCCTGCCTGGGATTTGTTTCCAAGCAACCAGCTGAGGGTGGGGAGGTGCACATGAAATTGGACTTGCTGAACTTTGAATTTAAGGAGGCTGAGTGGTGGGTACATGGGAGTTATTAAATTATTACATATTACTACAGTACCCCCCAGACTTTCTGAAAATGTTTGAAAATGCCCATTATAAAAAGTTAAAATTAGGGGCTGGGGATTTAGCTCAGCGGCAAAAGCGCCTGCCTGGCAAGCGCAAGGTCGTGAGTTCGGTTCCCGGTACCGGAGAAAAACCAAAAAAAAAAAAAAAAAAAAGTTAAAATTGCAAGGAAAAAATCGGCAAAGCACACCCTTTTAGGGACCTCTCCCTTCTTCTCATAAAAACTCATGCACACCCAGAAAGTCATGGAGAAATCAAATCTGCGCCGAGGACAAATCCTCCCCAGCAGACTGCACTGGAACACACGTATCCACGGGATGAGCCCTGCCAGGCGGTGCCTCAGTGAAATAAGGTCGGGATGGTGTAGAAGCCTCCCTCCTCCCAGACTGTTACCAGACACTGTCACGAGACTGTCAACCAAGGCTGTGGGAGGCCAGTGCTACACTGTGAAACTGCACCCAGAAGAAAGGCAGTTTCTGCTGATGCAAACACTGTTCCCTAAGCTGAGCGCTGATTCTCATGCAAGGTTCTGTGTCAGTTTCCAGTGGACAGAACCTGGGAGACACGGCTGCCAGAAGGTGAGGTTCCTTGTTTTCTGGGCCGGAGAAAGGCTCCTGTGCTGACTGCTCAGCCCATGAGGGGCATCATCGGTGCTCCTGGATGGTCCTCCTCGCTCATTGCCCCTCTGGCTCTCTGGTCAAACTGTAACACCATTGATGTCCTGGGGCTGAGGATTCCTCCAGGTCGGCTTATACCTGGCTATCCCCCAGCTCGCTTGCTCCGGCCCTTGGAAATCAGCTCAGCAGGTTGGAGAGGAGTTTACAACGGAGCCAGGGCTCCTGCTGAGAGGGCAGTGAGGTCACCAGCCACGGTGATTTCGATCTAGGTTTCCACGTCTCCCCTAGACCATGGCTGTGGGAAAGATCTGTGAACATTCCCCTCACTGGTGGGGACACAGAACATCCAGAAACCCTGGGCCAAGACCAAGGCTGAGGGGCAGCCCTGAGCTCCAGGTCTCAGGCAGTCAGCACTGGGGATGAAGCCAGCTGCTGGGGATGCTGAGACACAACGTCCCAAGTGTGTCACCAGCAGGTTCTGCCAAGGTAAGGCAGTCACAGAATGCTCCACATGAGAACCCTATCTGGCAGTGCCAGGCCTCCCCATGCCCAGCACCATGCAGTGGGTCCCAGGCCGTCACCCCCGGCTCTCCAGGGAAACACAGCCCACGGCACTGTTCTCATCCTGTGTCCTGTGGCAGGGACTACGGCCGGGCCCCACCTGCTCACCCTGACTGCTGAGCGAGGTGTGGGGAGAAAAGTGCAGTCCAAAACCAGCCACAGTCCTGAGCCTTGAAGTCTTGCAGTCCCTGAACTGTAAAATCCTGAAAATTACAGTCCCAGAAAATCCCAAATGTCAAAATCTTAACATCAAACTCCCAAAGCTTCAATTCCCGTTAGGGAAGAAACAGTCCATTTAAGAAGAGCACAAAGCAGAGTACAAAAGCCATACGGTGAGGCCCGAGCCCTGTTTAGACACGGTACCCTCGGTGAGGCCAGGGCAGCACTGGTATCCTTCAGGCTGAGGGATTCCAGGGCTTTCCAAAGAATTCAAGCTGCACATGCTTGAGAGTGGTCACTGGCTGGAAAAGAGTTACACACACTGCGGGATGAGAAGACACAGTCTGCAGT